CCGTGTTTTGACCCATATTCATATTATTGTATTGTGTATTATATTTGTATATATTCGGTATTGTCACGAAAATAAATCTATTTTAACTTTTTAACTATACCTTGCAACAGAGAGGGACAGTTTGGATACACATGTAAGTATCTGCACTTGTAATCGATGACCCGTGTATGTGCCGTTCATTGATAAGCCTGTCGGGAACGTTAAGTTAAATGACATCAGATGGTTTTATTTTCATTTTGTTTTACACTGAGATTGCGTTGGACTTCACCTTTTACGTTACAGAGCACGTCGAGTGCCAAAGCGATTCACACCTTGGCGGTTTTAGTATGGAGTACCCTGCTCTTTAAAACGTCGACTGTGGAGTTGCCCCGGGTACTGTATGACCATATGAACAGTCTTAACAAGCAGGGGCCGAAGAATGGGGGATAAAGAAACAACATGTATGATTGGGTTAAGTACTGACTTTGAAAAAGAATTTAAAAAATTTTTCTTGCTGATAATCCCACCGACTAGGTAGCACTTTTGATAAAAAGGGAAAGTACCAAGCACGGCGTCATGCCGGTGTAAAGTGACGGAGAGCTCCCCATGATAGACACAGTTTCTGTTACACGGACCCTCAGTTTCGTTACACCGGGTTAGCTATTCAAGTTTGATCTGCGGCGTAGCTGGTGAAAGACACAGATCTACGGCCCTCGCAGCCTAAGCATTATTTTGAAGACGTTTAAGTGACGAGAAAGGTAATATTATTGACGACGCAGACTTTTTGGTAATGCTTAGCAGTAAGTTGATGTCAGACCGAAACCAAACTACCGAGCCTTCATGCAAAATGTTCATTGACCTGACTCACGAGTGTCTGCATTCGTTGTGGTGACTGCCCAATGTCAGGGCCAGGTCATTGTTGTGGCTGACTGACATACACCATCACCATCTGGGACTCGAACCCGTGACTTTGTGTCACCATGGTTCGATGGTGGCTTCAATTATGATTCTTTTGCAACCATGCACGCTACCGACTGCGCCGTAACTGAACCGCCACCTTCCGTAGAAGCGCGTGTCCTCTTATACTTAACATAATTCAATTTTAAGATTTCCAGCAAAAAAATTAAATTAACCACCCTGGAACTCGAACCCATGTAGGCCTACAGGTGTCTTGTTTTACACTGAGATTGCGTTTTACTTCACCTGCACGATGAGAGAAGAAGACATTTATAACAAGCGAAACCCTTTGATAAATTTTAGGGTTTCCACGTTTCCATATTTTATTTTGATTAGCTCCTAGGAATGACCTTCACATCTCCGAGGAGCAGTTGTGGTGAAAGCCTGAGCCGCCCACATTGAGAATTACGGTCCATTCAGAATATAAGATCTGACTGTCAACTGATCCAAGGATTAAATATGGCGGACCCCATATGAATTAAACAAGAGCCGACTTACCCACTTACAGTCTCCCCACCTCCACACACACCATTTAACTACCCTATACCAGGGCCACAGATTGATTTTTCACTAGATATTAACAGATATGTCTCTAGTTCAATAGATGGCTGATCTCTGTACTGTGACCCTGTGCTGAAATCTCACGGATGATTACATGACTTGTAACTGTTTGCATAACTACTCAGGCACTGTCACTTATTAAGTCCCTGTCAAGTCCCCTTGACAGTAATTAAAACAGTTGATTGCCCATTTGTGACAATAAAAACAGCCCCTTAACAGACAGACAAGACAAGGCAGGTTATGTAACAAGCATCAATTACATTGGGGCGAAGCCCAGCTCTCACTGAGCTCCTGCGGAGAAGATGCAACGCCATATGCACGCGCGCAGATTTAATTGCTCCCATCTGTCCAAACGTTACTGGGTTGCCTCAGCAAAAATGTCCACAATAATAAATGCAGGCATGTCACATGGTAGAGGGTACCATTTAACGGATTAAATCGCGACTCCCAAGGTTAAATTGTTAGACCCCTGCAAGGACGGAGCGTGCGGTGGCAGGAGAACCATCAGCAGATAAGTCGGTTCTTCTTTCATGCACGGTCTGCCAAATTTGATCCGGTGGATCAGAAGATCCTTGGTTCTTTTATTCTGAATGGGCTTATTGAGAATTAGAGTCACCCTGGGCCTCCACACCAGCTCTGTAACATTTGACATAAAACTGCAAAAATGTTTTATCATACCAAGATATATTTAATTCTTTAGCTCACATAGATATACATGCAATTCAGTTCATGTACAATCTGCTACAAAGTATATGACAAATATTGCACCAAAAAACAAATTCATCACCTGTTATTGTATTACTTGTATTGAACCGGTTGATGGGGTATTATAATTGGGTGTGATTCGCCCCTCCAGTGTCTACCTGAATTCTACATACACTGTATATCTGTGGCAAACCAAATGATTGTTTTTTAATGTTTATAAGGTTTAAATTTTTTTAGTTTTTACTATTTTTATTCTATTTACACGAAATATACCACCACTTACCACTTACAAAATATTTTTGTGATTTATTCCTAACTCATGAATAAATTTCTTACTTGCATCAATACATGAAATTCACCAATCCTCACCTTGCCACCCCAGGTTGGTTCTCTTATGGACAAGCACTTAAAATTTCATCAGTTAAATGATTCATTTTACTTTTAGTAGACATAGAGAGCATGCACATCAAGAAGAGCCGGGGTCTAGCAAGGACGAGACCTAAATATGGCAGACCTACATGAAAGGAAGACCGCTTAATCCTTTAATGGTCTCTCAATGACATTCATTCTGGATTATGCGGTCTTCCTTTCATGTAGGTCCACCATAATTAGGTCTCGGCCTTGCTAGACCCCGGCTTTACTCAATGTGAATACTCTCATAGACCATTTTACTGTTTAATAGTAGACACAGACCATTTTTATGTTCATGATAATTAGCCAGTGATTGCAGTTATACTGTTTTTAAAAACTGACACGGAATAAATTGTTTTGTTATATATTGAATTATTATACATTTTATATGTTATAGAAATAGGCTAGCATAATAACTGGTTATATTTTATTAATTTACTAATTAATTCACTAATTAATAATTTACAATACTTATTAATACTTATTAATTAATACTTATTGATCTTAGCTGCCTTGGCGGAGGTCTCCACTCTCTATTAATCAATTCACTAATTATTAACCAAATAAGAACGTTAATTGACCTGAGCTGCCTTGGTGGAGGTCTCCACTCTCTGTGAGTGGTATTCAGGTGATCAGACTAGTAGTGTCCTCATATCTCTAAGTGACTGTCTTGCCAGTTCATGTCTTTGATGCTGTGTTCCTGTAACTTCTGGTGCATGCTTGGTATTATTGCATGATGGGATTGTAGTGAGAGGGTAGCGGCAAGAAGTCCATATTTGATACAGTCTGCAGCTGGAATGTCTCTAAGTAAACTGTGGACTATGGCTGCTACCATACTAGGAAATACGAAATATAAAATAAAAGTACATCAAGTGGTACAGTATAAAGCAAGTTTTAAAATTATTTGAGAAAACCTTTATGATCTTTATTCCTGTGCATTCAAAAATCTATCCTATGCATGTGCACACACACACATGCAATGAATTTGACAATTACTCTAATACAGTAGCAAGTATTGACATAAGAAATATTTAATAATTGTGTTACTACTTTCTTATGATGTCAGATGGGGAACAATTACAACATATTGTCACAGTGACAGCTAGAGCTGTGCAATAAAAAATGTTTGGATATCAGAATTTCACCTTAAAACACAGCTTTTAATTTTATTCATTTACCTTATAGTTAGATCCTATTTATTTACTGATTGATTTCTACCCATCTCTGGCTCCAGACACACTGAGCAGGGGCACCTGTTGCTGGCCCTGTTTATTTATTTATTTAATTATTTATTTATTTATTTCTACCCATCTCCGGCTCCAGACATACTGATGCAGGGGCACCTGTTGCTGGCCCTGTTTATTTATTTATTTATTTATTTATTTAATTTATTTCTACCCATCTCCGGCTCCAGACATACTGATGCAGGGGCACCTGTTGCTGGCCCTGTCTATTTATTTATTTATTTATTTATTTATTTAATTTATTTCTACCCATCTCCGGCTCCAGACATACTGATGCAGGGGCACCTGTTGCTGGCCCTGTTTATTTATTTATTTATTCATTTGTTAATTACTTTATTTATTTATACCTGTCTCCTGCTCCAGATACACTGACCAGGGGCACCTGTTGCTGGCCCTATTTATTTATTTATTTATTTATACCTGTCTCCTGCTCCAGATACACTGACCAGGGGCACCTGTTGCTGGCCCTGTTTATTTATTTATTTATTTATTTATTTATTTATTTATTTACTTATTTATACCTGTCTCCTGCTCCAGATACACTGACCAGGGGCACCTGTTGCTGGCCCTATTTATTTATTTATTTATTTATTTATTTATTTATTTATTTATTTATTTATTTATACCTGTCTCCTGCTCCAGATTCACTGACCAGGGGCACCTGTTGCTGGCCCTATTTATTTATTTATTTATTTATTTATTTATACCTGTCTCCTGCTCCAGATACACTGACCAGGGGCACCTGTTGCTGGCCCTGTTTATTTATTTATTTATTTATTTATTTATTTATTTATTTATTCATTTGTTAATTAACTTATTTATTTATACCTGTCTCCTGCTCCAGATACACTGACCAGGGGCACCTGTTGCTGGCCCTGTTTATTTATTTATTTATTTATTTATTTATTCATTTGTTAATTAATTTATTTATTTCTACCTGTCTCCTGCTCCAGATACACTGACCAGGGGCACCTGTTGCTGGCCCTGTGCATACGCTGGACAATACATGGCAGTCAATGCTCCTTCAGACTGGAAAAGGGAAAGAAAAATTAAGCAAGCTCTTGTCACAACAGATAATCAGAAATAAATAATTCAGTACACAAATTAAGTGACATATCACCTTAACAAATGCTTGCCACAATTCAGCCATTATTTATCAAGTCAGTACATCATCTCATTTTAATGTAAGAAAACATTCACAACCAGTTGATCCCAGTCAGCAGCTGAAATATTGCATGACACAATTGAAAGCAAGACAAGATTTAATGTGCTCTGCTGGGATTGGTGTGCTTGGGAGAAGGGGAATCCATGACATCATTGCTAGTGGATAATCTAGCCATTTTCCTTTTCACTTCAGAAGGCAAAAAATGAACTAAGATACTTTAATGTGAGTTTTTTTTTTCTTCATTTAGGTCTGAATTGGGAAAGATGAGAAGATTTAGAATACCGAAAGCATGTTTAAAATGTGTAGAGTATGTCTTTAATCATAATGCCTTACCGTCATTGCCTATTATGCAACACATAAAAAACTACTAGAATTAAATTTGGAATTCATGTAAACTATACATACTCACTTTGCACTTAGAAGTGGCAGTCTTCAAAATGTGAGAATGGTTCTGCGATGAGTTAGAAAAGGCTGTCAAATGTACAGACAAGTGCTTGTAATAAGACTTGATATGTACCTGACAAGTACCACATGTTTTGGTCAGGGTTATAAGTACACATACAACATTATCTGTAAATAAAAAATATTTGAAAAAAATAATAAAAATGGACTTTAAAATAAAGTATGTACCTAGCATTACTTACTGGCACAATTTTTCCTTTGTATGGGAATGGATTGTCTTGGCTAGTGTTCCTGCACAGTAAAATACCATGCTTTCCTAAAGTCACTAAGATGGTTGGAATGTATTCTATTAACTGTCTGCATATTTCCACACTTTCTTCTAGCAAGGCATTCAGAGGTAAGTCATCTGTCTGGCCTGAGGGTATAAAAAAAAAAAAAATAATAATAATAGTAAATAGGGAGTCCTGAATGATCCCAGCCTATGATAATAATAATACATAATAAATCTAGCAAGGCATTCAGAGGTTAGTCATCCGTCTAGCCTGAGGGTATAATAATAACAATATTATCATTATTATTAATAACAATAGGAAATAGAGAGCCTTGACTGATCCCCGCCCATGATAATAATAATAACAATAATGATAATGACAAAATTATAGTAAATAAGGAGTCCTGACTGCTCCCAGGTTATATATCTATCTCAGCGGGGATTCTAGCTAGGGCACAGTCAATGTAATCAGCTTAGTTGTCAACCAACCCCTCTTGGCAAAGCAATATGAACAACATCACGGACCATAAAGTTTTCCCCACTTTATCCAGGTATTTTAAGCTATGAAAGGGGGGGGGGGGGGGCAGACATTAAATCTGCTTGAACTGAAAGCAATTTAGTGAGAATCCCCAAGGAGTTACTTAAAGTACTTGGGTTAAGTCGGGAAAGCTCCATAGTTCATGATGCTGTTCATGTTGCTTTGTAAGGGGGCGTGCCAGACCCATCTGGAATTTTCGAAACCATTCCCTGCTCACCTGTTTCAATCTCCCCCGTCCCTCCCATCAACCCCCGCCTCATGTGTCTCAGTTCATTGATATTCGGGGACGTGTACGTGATCTTGGTGAAGGCATCGCTGTGAAACGGCTTCTCTGCCTTGTGGAGGTCAGTGGGGTCAAACCATACTGGAAGAGAATGAATTTGTGACTTTTAATTAAAAGCAATCAGGTAAAATAAGACAAAATAAACTAACTCAATTTTGATGCTACATGGGATGGAGAAAATCCAAGATAAAAATTGAATTTTTATGCATGATTCATTTTTTGGTGAAATAAAGTGGGTGAAACAATTTTTATACATGAATTCAAAGTATGTACACGTACTAGAAATTAAAGAAATTATATCTATAAAAATATATACAGAAATTTAATAAAAATTAATTTATTATACAATTAATATGTTCATATTTTTTTCTCTTCCCTTATCTGAGAAATCTACTTTTAGTTAAAAATATGACATATTACACAGTACATTTTTTGTTTTTTATCCTTATTATTGAAGTAATGTAAAATCAATATTTATTAGTATTGTCCATTTTAATACAAAATATAATGCCAAAATGCCATGAAATTTCACACTGCTTTCAGCATTAAAAAAAATTTAAAATAAATATAAATAATAATTGAAACAATAAATACTGAAATAAAAAAATAAAGAATAAATAAATGAACTCCTATACGGAACTGTTTTTTTTTTTTTCACAACAGAAAGTTCTTTTAGCAATCTTTCTTGTGTACTCTTTTAAATTTCTTTAAAATTAACTAACATCCATTATGTTAACACATCTCTTGGCCACACATTCATTCCCACATGAGATTCAGCAATCCTAGCCCCCAACACTTAATTCATCAGTATTACCTGGCAGTGTATTCAGAACCACCTGTCACCCCCTCCACTTAATCAGTAGACCCACATTCCTTGTTTAATGTCTGGCAGCCTCATTTTCACTTTAACCGCCATGCAAGTGAATCAACAGGTAGAGCAGGTCTCAATTATAGGGGGAGACAGAGAGTAATTTTTTTTTTTCAGATAAATATGACAAAACTAGGCTAATACCACAGAATATTTCCAATAAAATCACTAAAAATGCATAGGATTTTATTTTAAAAGTGTGTCATAAATAACTGCTATCATAAAACATAAAGGAATACAAGATTTATAATTTTCCTTGTCCTCTCCCTCAAATCTACCTGTCCACCCACCTGTACAGGTGAGACAGAGGACAGAGAATCCAAGATGGCGAATGGTGGGAGAAATGAGAGTCCAGTCTTTATAGCAAGTTTTATCCTCACTTTCATAGCTCTCATCTTCCACGTTGTGGCATTCTGTAGCCCTCACTGGATACAGTCATGGGAGAGAACGCAGAGCGATTTTCTGAGAGCAGGATTATGGGAATTCTGCTTCAACGCTTTCACTCACCCACAGGATTACCTTGCTAAAAGTTATGTTGGATGCTGGTGGGTTTATTCACCAGAATACTTCAACATTAGGGAGTTTCTTATGCCACGTAAGTACGGACTTTGAAAAAATATATATTAATATATAATTTGAATTATATGCATTACTTTAAGCAAAACTAGGGTTTGTTATACCAGCAGGTAAAATTAGGTCAAGGTGTGATTTTGTTTTTAACTGTGAGTCAGTTGCTGGGAATTCAAAATGGCTGCTTGGTATTTAGGAAGTAAAGAGAAGTTTGACATTTTAAAAACTCTGCTTCTTTAAATATAAAATCTGAAGAGATTAATTCATGAAAACCAGAATTCTTTAAAATATTTGTAGCACTTAGACAGCTGATTAATTGAAACCACATCACATTTTTTATTGGAAAACTATATATAATATATGAGCTAACATGACAGAGTGAAAGTGTTAAAATAGGCACTTATCTCTACAAAAGCCATCTTTTCTTGGGTTTGCCAAAACTCTTAGAATAGAACAGATGAAAAAAATCAACTTGCTGAGTTTTAAAATATTTAAAAAGTATTAAATGAGGTTACCACTTCATATACTACACTAACCTCTACCTGATAGAGTCTAAATGAAACCAATTCTATCAGAAACATCAAGTTAGATAAGTTTTTAAAATCATTTTAACATGATGCTTTTCCAGCTAATGACTTTTCCTGATATTTGATAAGTGTCATGTTTAGATATTTTACTTTGCATTTTTTTCTGTTGTTAAAGCATGGTTCACTGTCACTTAATGCCTGTAAGTGATGTTAAAGACATCCCCCCAAATTATTAAATGCTGCTGACATAATATTTCACTTTTGGTACTTATTATCACTGATATCGCTTACACAGCTTGGAGACGCCCGTGACAATTGTTCATCACTATTACTATTGCCATTATTAAATTGAATTATCTTTAACATTTCTGACCATTAAATGCTATTTCATTTTAATTGTTTTGGCATGGTTTATTATTGTACAGTGTCTGTCTATCTTGGTTCTTGAACTCCCAGCCTTGTGTATCCAAAGTATTATAAATATTACATTAAATAAAATCACACTTTTTCTCATTCCAGCATGGTTCATTGCTGCCCAGTGGCTGTCAGTATCTGCCTTGGTTCTAGAACTCCTGGCCTTGTGTATTCAAAGTATCTACTACATGAGATGTTGCTCCACAACACTTGAGGTTCCCTCAATTTACCTGTCAGCTTTCTTGATGGTTTGTGCATGTAAGTATAGCCATGTGATTAATTTTGGCCCTAATATTTGACTAGATTTATAAATTTATGACCGATGTTTGTAGGATGCCTCAATAAACTGCATGTATCCTTATCAGATTGGTTTTTTACTACATATTCATTATTGTTAAAAATGCCATGATTGCTGCCACCTACTTGTGAGTCAACTCTGCACCCTCCCGTTTTGAAAGACCAAGCACTGAGATAGCCAAGATTTTTTGTGCTACTTGTGTTTAGAAAACATGTCATTGAACACACAATATGAAACCCAAAGTCAAGAAACCTCAATTGAACCCATACCATGTTTTATTTTGCCTGTTGGCATGTTACTCAACGAGGCAGACAAATGGACACAACAGATTGAAATACTCTTCAAAAAAATTTTTTTCTAAAAAATTCTACAATAATTAATACCAGACTGATAAACCTACTCAGTATAACCAAATAGTTAGTCTGTATCTATCTTTTTTCCTTTTGCCTAGGTATCATAGAAGGAATGGTGGTGATTGTATTTGGTGCCCTCAGCGGTGACCGGACCTGGATGCCGCGCCCTGACTTCAACTACCTGTCATGGTCGTACGCCTTTGCCGTGCTCTCCGGATTTGTTGCATGTTTCGCAGGATGCGGTCTTGCTATGGCGGGATCCAAGCTATCACGCATGATTAAGAAGGACCCGAACTCTTTTAACATGGGAACAATCCCACCTCCTCATATGTAAATGTTTTTTGGGATTATAAATGGCGTTTAAGACCCCTCAAGATATCACGACCGAGTGTATAAATGGAATTTAGGACCTCTTATGATGTCATGACTGGGTGTTAAATGGCATTTAAGACCTCACAGTATACTCTGAATAAAAGTTTAACTGGTCTCCAAGATACTGGCAGGGGGACTTAAATATTACCATTTAGGACTTTCTACACAATTCACCATTTCAAATTCTACAAATATTCACATGGAAACTGTATTTAAAAAGCAATTTTGTTTTATAATACATTTAATGTTGGTTCTTTCTGAATATTCGCGACTTTCATAAAGACCCATATATTCCCTTTTAGAACATTTCTTGTGGATTTTTTCACTATGTTCAATGGTTGCATTTTATTTAGTTGTACATATTTTCGTAACTTTTAGTACAATGTATATGTGGTGCCATGGCAACATGGATAGTAAAAATATGTATATTTGTTCTTAGACTACCAAGTTTTCTATTAGATACATTAATTTTTTTTTTATTTCTCAACTTCTAATTAAATGCTTAAAGTAAAATATTTAACCATTTGAGATGTGTTTACATCACAAAACAAAATTTTTCTGTCTATACATATGGAGATTTTTTTAAAAATTTCTGCATGGTATTGATTCATATGTAAAAAAGGGGACCAACATTCAAAACTACTTCTGTATAGAAATAAGATGTGCCATTTAAAGTTATCTCAAAACAATGGGAGGACCTGCTAATCTGGTACTGTGAAATATAAAAATGATAGTTCAAAATATTTTCGTACACACATTCTATTCCTGAAGTACTTAAATATGTGGTTTAATGTGCCCATCTTTGAACCAAGCCACACTTCCGTGAAAGGAAGTTGGACAATTGTACAAAAAACTGCCTGCAACGCAGAACCCAAAGAGTAACTCGAGCTGTGTATATTACTTAAAAACCTGACATTCTTTACTGTATCATATTAAATAGTTTCCATAATTATTAGGAATGACTAGTCTTTTATTGCTGAGATATAATCTCTTGAGTTAAAGTAATAATTTGCACTGTGCAGGTATGGGTCAAAGAACCTAGAAATATTGACAGATAACAGCTGTCTTTTCCAATATATTTCTCAAGTTGTTTCTCTTAATATGTGACAATGGCAAATTCCATTCCTTTTCATATGATTTTAATTTTGAAAACTTAGGTCAAACATATCAGGGTTTTGATATATATAATAGTTTGGTACTAAGTGACATGTTCTGGTAATTATTTTAGTTCATATGTGCTCGTATGTATATAAGAATTTAGTTGCTTGCAACTGATTCCTGAATGAAGATAAAAGGGTCACAAGTCTGGTAATTGATCACTTATTCCAAACATTTCGTTTATTTCTATTTCTTATTCCAGAATCAAATCTGATAATTTTAGTTTCTCCCAATCAGAGCATAATTTCTGACATTAATTTAGCTTGATTTTGAGAAACCATGGGTCATCTTTTTCAGATTTTGTCAAAAAACGGAAGTTTGTTTTGAGAAATAGATTTAATTAACTTTGTTTGAATAAAGCATGCAATTACCAGATAATTATCCCTCAGCCCAAATTCAGCCAATATCTAATATTAGATAGTAAGCAAATGGGTCTATACGATGTAAATCATACCTATTTTTAACGCTACTATGAAGTAGGGTTGCTGTAGATGACTTGAAGCCACGTAGATACATTTTGTAAAATAAAAAGACTTTTGTAAAATGAACGTGATGTTTGCTTTTCATTAATTTATGATGCTTTATGTGTTATATTTGATTATATTCAGATTAAACAGGTAATAAGAATTATTTTTATCACATCCTGACTTTTCCACTCATCGCATAAAAGCAAAAAAATTGGGATTATGCATCATTTAATTATATCTTTAACAATTCACAATTAGCCTTGAAATGAGCCAATTCTACTTGAATGCATCTGGCTACTTTCAGAAACCTTTCTTTTTAAATTTATACTTCTTGGAGTTGCACCAATGTCTGTAAGATCACTGTTTAAGCCTAAATTCATAACAATTAAATTGGTCATCAATACAAAAAATGAAATAGATGAATATAAGTAAAATATTTGGACAATTTTTCTCCCACAGATCTGTATCACATTGTTTACAGCACCTGCCATAACTTTAATTGCAGTATTTGAAGTTTAAAGCCTGGGCAATAAACCAATCATATCTTTATCTGTTGTTTGCAGGGTGACACAACCTGTCACCCCTCCAGCCGGAATACACCTGTCCCAGTTTATGATCTCATGAAAATGGCAGCCAGGTATGTTTGTCATGGCCAGGTGAGAAAAGGTCTCATGGGATTGATAAACTCATGACTTAATGACTTCCATAGTCAGAATAAATCTAATAAAACATGAAATATCAAAGAAGTAAAACCATATCAATTGTACATATGACAATTTTGGTCGATCCTAAACACATACCAACTGCAGAATCTTAAAACAAAATTTCAAAATTACCAAACAATAATGAATTACCCAAGAGTCTCAAAGACCTGCACTCCCCCCTCAACTGCCATAGAAGGAGGCCACCATCTTGAATTTGGAGACTTAAAGATGGGGTCCAACGCTACATTTTACATCGGCTTCGCATTAAGCCTATTAGCTCTACTATTCAACATAGTAGGCTTCTGCACCCCTAACTGGTATGAGAAATCAGACATTAGAGACAGTCACGGCTTTGTGCGATGCGGACTTTGGGAGTTTTGCCTGGACAATTACAAAAACCCAGATGACCTGTTAGCCAAGCCTTACAGTGGATGTTGGTGGGTTTACTCTCCAGAATACTGGTGGATGAGAGACCACTTAATGCCACGTAAGTATTGAGGGATATAAACTGAAATTTATGACAAGAGAGGTCATAATGAGTTTGTGCACAATGTAAAATGTGTTTACTGAAAGCGGATGTTCTTTGTGTACTTTTACTGGCAAAAAACAGCATTCATTTCATTCCAAAACTACAATTAATACACTATTCAGGCTTAACTATAATACCTTTGCTTCAAAATGATACTTGTTGTAAAAAATTTAAATTGTGTCTTATAAATGGTGTAAAAATGCCTGTTAAATTCAATGAGTTTGTTGTAAAGACTTTAAGTCTCACTGTCATGAGTGACCCCAATTCAACCTGCATCAACAGGTGTGAGTCACTGGTCAAATATCTTGATTAAAATGCAAATTGATTTTCTTATCAACCTGCAATAAAATCCCACTGTAGATTAATGATATCTATACCATAATTGGGAAAAAAACTTAATTTCAACCATGTCTTTAGATATAAGGTGTTATTCATCTATAAAGATGTATACTACATTAATTTTATATTTATGCTTTGTGAAATGAATCACAGCCAAGTTCAATCAAATTATCCTACTTCATTTTAATGTATCAATTATTGTTAAATTATACATGTCAATATTCTATTGAAGCCTGGGTTAGCCTATTAGTATCTGCTATATATTATTAATGCTATTGTACACATGTTATAGTCATAGACAACAGTAGTGTTGTAGTTAAATAAAACTTGAGTTGGGACTTAATTCTATTTTGAACTTTTCATCTAATCCTAATTTTAATTCACTTTAATAAACATGAATAACTCTGATACTGGAACTTACATTTAACAACTGACATAATGCAGGTTCCAGTATCAGAATCATTCATTTTTATCATTGTTATTCTACTGGATGACTAACAACATTTATTTTGGTACTCATTTAATTGACTTTCTTGTTACATCTCTTTCACAGCGTGGTTCATCGCCTGCCAGTACCTGAGTCTGATTGCCGTGTTTGTCTTCATGACCGCCTCCTTTGCAGAGGGAGGCTTCCTCTTCCAGTGCTGTGAGACAGATAGCTCAGCATTAAAAATCTCAGGAGGAATAAGCATTGCTGCAGGTTTGTACCTAATAACTTTTGGGTCAGTAGCAATAGCTGATTAGTAATAATTGTAGGGGGGCGGGGACTTGAAAGTGTGCACAGACACACTTCACCCACCTTTATCATCCTGTGAAATTAGGGAAGATAAGTAGAAATTTGGGGAAAGTCCCAACAGCTCATGTGGAATAAGTAACTGCAGCAAACACTGCCTGCCATCACCTCCACTGGTTAAAAAGTGATTGGTTAGAATTNGACACAATAAAACCACCATTATCACCTTGTAAATTTAGGGACAGGAAAAGAAAAACTGAGAGAAATTGAAACTGAAGGGGTGGTGAAATAGATAACCAAGCCCTAAGAGCTCAGGAGAAAGAAGTACAGCAGCAAGTTTTTAACTAATATTAGTAAATTACAACCATTGGGCAGAATTGAATGCTCCTCAGATTATTATTATTATTATCACTATTATCTATTTTAATCATTTACCTATTTATTATGGCGGGGGGGGGGGGAGCTCAGGTTGTGTATACAGATTAAAGAACTAGAAAACCCTTACACCTGCCATCAACCTCCACTGAGACTGATTCTCAAACTTCTTTATATAAAGTTCATTAGCTTTTTGAAATTCACAAACTTCTCACAAAGGGGGTGGCACAAGATTGGAGGAAAAAACTAAAGCCCTTTGTGCCAAAGTGGTAATAAATGAGACATTTTTTTATTGAAAGATACGCAAGAGTTCAGTAAAGATTTACTGAAATAACTAAAGAGTAAAACTAATGCAGCCATGAAAAATAATGTAGATAAAAATAATACATTTTAATTATAAAAGGATAATTGATTCATACAAAAAGGCTATCATGAAACACTTGGTTGTTTTCTTTTACAGCATTACTAGAAGGAATCATCGTCACAGTTTTTGGAACCATAACCAAAGATGGCCGCACCTGGATGCCAGACCCTGACAACAACCGCGTGTCCTGGTCTTTTGGACTCGCTGTCTTGTCTGCATTTTTGGCTCTTTTCTCTGGGATGCTGATGCTTTTAACGAGAGCCCAATTGTCAGATGAGACAGAGGCGGAGATGAAGTAAAATGTGTGGCAATTTCCAGGACTGTTGCTGTTTAATATCATGTAGAATAATTGTAGATTTTTATACCAAAAGTGTAATGTAAATATTTTTTAAGTTTCAAAATATTTCACTTGAAATAGGGACAGTGACTTTGCAACAGAACAGACTGTTTTATAGGAAGTGCATTTACAGGAAATATTGTAAAAACCCATACAATGGCTGAAAAAGTGCTCTACTTACATCCCTGTATAAACACATGAACTATATGTGAGCAATTTTGATATTTTACTGTGAATAAAACAATGTTCATGGGTGCTTTTTTTAAGAGGAATTGACAAATGACATGCAAAATGTATATGAACCTTTGTATTATTTGTAAATATGTCTTATCCCTTAGGCATTAGTTTAACAAAGCAAAACTGAATGTTTTAGAATAGTTAGTAATAGAATATGACCTTGTGAGACATAACTTATGTTTTTATCCATATTTTGAATGAAAAAACTGTTGGACTACTCGTCAACACATCTGAATGGAATATGTAGCATATGTAGATAGAACACTAGTAGACTCAATATATCTATGGAAATATTCATATTTTTACCAACTTATACTGCTTGTCCTTGATATATTTTTCTTCTCCTAAAATGTTTCCTGTTTTTTCGATTGTTTTAACTGAGAAGACTTAACAAACAGAAGTCAAGTTTGTCAGAAGCATTTCATACCAGAAAAAAAAATTTTATAAGCAAATGTAAATAAAGAAATAGTAAACATACTAAGTATGGTGTTGCAGTTTTTTTTAAGTAGAGGCACAGTTTCTCTGTCTCTCTCTCTCTCACACTCTCTCTCAAACGCACACTCAGACTTCTTTTCTTCTGAGATTGTAATTTCATAAACCCAATCCTATTTGAATATTCAAATTAAAATTTGAATTAAAATAAGTATAGCCTTCCCCTAAAAAAAAGTTATGGCCTTCTTTAATCTTGCCACCTCCTAAGATGCATCAACTACAGGGGCTCAGCACTACAGTTTCTAGATGGCAGTGTTGACCTCACCCATACTAATAATACTTCATGAAGAAATAAACCAAATAAAAGACAGCATTTTTTTTTTCATTTACCTGGTACTTGATTTCTATCACAGACGTTGCAGACATATTCCATAGAGGATTCTGGGATATTTCCATCAATAAGAACTATGGGAGCTTGACACAGCTTGGCCTCGTATCTGGCAATCTGTGAATAAAAATTTATTATATAATAAATGTTTAAATTATTAAAACTGTCTCATATTACCATGGAATCTGGAGTTTTCACGACATGATCTATGTTTACATTAACATTTAACATTTTGTGATCGTGGAATTTCATTTCTGAATTCTGTATAATAATGTCTCATCAGAATATCAGGGTTACCGTAGTATCTTGAATGTGTGTGCATTTGCTGGTTAAGTTATATTTTAGAAACATGACTGAGAAAGAATCACACAGTGGTCAGCTTCCGTAATGTCAATATGGAGTCAAAGGGTGCATTCCCAGAGATTTAGATCGATCCAGAGATTTAAATTTAGATCAACCTAACTCCCTGGGGGTTCACGCTAAATTGCAGTCAGCCAAGCACGCACCATAGTTTTAAAATTACCCCCTTACAGCTTTCAGTAGGTGGGACAGACGCTTAAGCCAGCTAAGCTGACAGTAATCTAGTGAGACTCCCCACAGGGATAGATCAATCTAAAATCTATGGGAATGGAGTCAAAATGTCAGTATGGAGGGAGGCAGTTAAGAGCTTAATTGTAGAAAATGATCCAAGAATTGTAAGTCAGACTATATAAACATACTAGGGCCTGGCCAGCTGTAATGATTTAATGTGTTAAATTTGATATCATTTTATACTTTACAGTAGTGATAATTAAAGAGTTACTGTACTCACGTATTCGGGTGTGATGGTGGAATGAATCTCCATGTCCCCCACACCATACATCAACTCACCGCTGTGTCTTAGAATTGCACAATAGGTGGCAGTGGAGTAGGTCTCATGCTGCGCAATACCACTGCAGTCCTTGAATAAGTATCAAAATTTAATGTTAAAATATTTTGAAGTTTTTGTATTTTAATGAAAATAAACTACTGACCAATCTCTCTCCGCCAAGAGAAGAAAAAGAAAGACAACAAATTTAACATAAAATTTTGCATGAAAATGATTTTAATAAATAAATAAATGAATAAACAAAACATTATATGGGACCACTTACCTAGAAAAAGCTATAGCCCAAAATTTAAAGTACTTTAATACCCTGAAGCAGACTAACTTTTGTATATAAATGTTAAGACTCATTTTTTGGAAAATAGCTCTTTTGTGAAACTGGCCAATCAATGTAGAAACCAACAAATTGGAGAGCAAAGAATCAATGACTTTCTTAATTGAAAAATGAAGGAAAAAATAAACAAGCCCAAAAATAAAACCTGATTGTTACCATGTGACTACAGTAGTTCAACATGGACTCGGCATGCCCATCTGTACCAATGGCCGATATGAAGAAAGGATTGGAGCCAAGGCGAGCTAATCCATCCGCTAGATTCCTCCCGACTCCACCAAACGACTGCCTCATGTGACCAGGGTAGCTTCCACCATCTTCCTTGAGATTGGGGTCTGTGGCGGTGATTGTGAAGTCTACAATGGTGCCACCTATAACGACCTGAAATAAGAAATGAAAAACCTTTTTCTTTAAACCTGTCCTATTTCAAGCATTTAAAGTATTTCTTTGGTATGAACCTGAAAGTGGAATGATATATGAAATGCAAATAGCAAATTCCAGCCATGTGAATCCCAGCACCAGTGTAATAGCACCAATGATTTGAGTATATTTATAATAACTATAACTATATTATAATAACTATATTAATAATAACTATAATAATATATTTTAGTAATAACTATCATTGTACTTGGATAAGAACTAAAAAGTTCAGCACTATTCCACTTTTTGGTGTTATTTGTAGGTGTTCTGCTCTCTATACTGTGCAGGACTGATGGATGACATTCTCAACACCATGTTAGTTTATTCAGTGCAATATTAGTACATGTATGTGTCCAGTTCCAACCACTACAACCAGCAGCTACCATGCCTCTTATCTTCTTCTACCTTCCTTATGGTTATACCCAGTTGTTTAACTGTCCAATCTGTCTAGAATCATATCCTCACATCTCTTTTCTTCCGTGTGCTTCTCCTCCTCCAACTGTTCCATGTGGGACTTCATTGGCAAATCCAGGTCTTATTCTGTGACTCTTCCATCTTTTTGTGTTATTTTACTGTTCCCTGTAGGCCTTTTATGACTAGCCCCGAATGTGTAATCACTTGCTATTGGCTACTTCCATCACAGCTTATACCAGTGTGAATGCTGAAGTTGGCTGTGCCTCAAGACATAACTGTTACTGTGACATTTCTGGGGATAATAAAAGAACCCACACCAAATATTCACAGATTTTGTCCAACAAGAGCTTCTCAAATCAGGTATCCACTATCCCCCCCCCCCTCCCCCCCACTTGTCACCCGACTTGCTACTCCAAATTGCAGAGCATAATTGCATTTTTTAAATAAATACTGTGTTTAACATTATTCGGGCCACTGAAAGGCATTTTTACCTCTCTGTCAAGTATGATTACAGGACTATTGTCAACTTCAAGTCAGTTTTAAAAGAAATAACATAAAAGTACAAACATTTTCAGTTGATTAAAATCTNCCCCCCTTTGTCACCCGACTTGCGACTCCAAATTGCAGAGCATAATTGCATTTTTTAAAACAAATACCCCGTTTAACATTATTTGGGCCACTGAAAGGCATTTTTACCTCTCTGTCAAGTATGATTACAGGACTATTGTCAACTTCAAGTCAGTTTTAAAAGAAATAACATAAAAGTACAAACATTTTCAGTTGATTAAAATCTTTTATTGTTTGATAAAGAAATCGACAGTAGGGTGTAGTTCAAGTTATGGCATACATGCTTAAAAACAGTAAATTGTTAATTCCCTCAAGTATATGATGAGTAACATATGTTAATAAAAAAAGCATTTTCTAAATATCCTCTCAAAAATAGTGTACAAGAAATAGGTCCCTGAACAAGAAACAACTTAATACTTATCAACTAAAATATTAATTTTGGTATTTAGCTTAATATTAATAATTTTAACTTAAAAGTTTGCTAAGTTACCACTCATTTCAAATCTTAATCCCTACCATTTGTTACTTTTACAACTTAACAAATTTGTTAAGTAGCTTGGAAAAAGAATATTACTAACAATTTTCCAAGTTTCATTTTATTGTCTTGCTTGTGATGACATGATGTAAAGGTTAAAACACTACCCACATTAAAATGTTTTGAACATTTAATATATATTTTAAATCTTATTAATTTACTTTCTTTTAGTAAGGCCCCATTCAGAATAGATTATCCCAGTACTAACTGATTCGCTGACTAAATATGGGCATCCACACATGCACCATTAAACGGATTAGATCACGGCTCCGAGGTTTAACTGCGGGGTCCCTACAGCGACGATGTGTGTGGAGTCAGGGAGACCATTGATAATCAGCAGCATTTCTTTTGAAGTGTGGTTGCCCACATTTAGTCAGCGGATCAGTTAGTACTCGGATCATCTAATTTGAATGGGGCCTAAGACAGGTTTGACCCATATCTTTACTATTTTTTACAAATCAACCACAAGTGATACATGAAACAACGTGTTACACACAGACTTGTTAACATTAAGAAGTTATCACGGATGATCTTTAGAAAATATCCACATCACGGTCCCCAAAATGAATCTTTAAGTGGTTTTGAAAGGGGAAAATATAATATTATACTAGAAAAGAAAACTAAATTCTATCCCGCTTCACAAATATCTTAACATCATCTTGAAAACAAAACTATTTCAAAAACCAAATTATAGAAGAAGTGCATAAATTGTTTATCTTACCTTAATCCATTTTTTTCGTTATCAAGCTAACTTATAACTTGTATAAGTCATTTATTCCATTATGGCACTCAACATTTTAAATTTAGTGCTTTATTATCTAAAGCATTGAGATTGATATAAGAGACAAGGTATCCTTTGGCTTTCTCAAAAAAGAAAAAAAAATCATTTTGGCTGTGTACATGTACGTATGAGTCAGATTGTCTTCCCCACCTGAGATGTAAAATGCATACAAAACCTGAAATACACTCGAGGCACTAGGTATTATAAATTGAAGCAAAGAAATATCATATTATAATTTCTATATGGAAACGCTTAGGTTTAATTTAATAGAATAACCTTTTTTTTTCCAGTGGTATTTCATCTATATTTAATCACTTATCTCTGTGTCTCTCTTTTCGCACTCTACACATTAAATATATCAAATTTGCATTTTCTTTATCACAAATTCTCTTCCCAATGGTTATTTCAAAACAAGCACCAATAAACATATTACATCACCTGTCCAGTTAATTGCCTTGCTGCACATATCTCATCAACCCTCAGAAATATACAGAAAAATCAAAGATGGCTTATGACTGGCATATTCGTATTATTTAAATTATTCCTATTATGAATTTAAAATACATCTGCCAATTTTTTTTTAACATGATGATTCTCCACTTTTCATGAAGCTGTCCCCATAAATCTGACATGTCAACTGCCCATAACAAATAATCAACTCAGAAACAAACAACATTCAGTTTGTTCAAACTTAAATAAAAGTAAGGAAATCAAGTAAGTAGGGAAATCGACTTTAAAAGGGTGTTAAATCGAACATAACATTTAAATGTAGTCAACATGATTTTTCTAAAAATAATTAGCAAAGGCATTGTGGTTTTAGTTAGTGATAGGTCAAATTACATATAATCAAGTTCTGAATCTAATCTACATGTCAACTAACAGGCCTTCCTTGCTCCCCACCAGATGGTGCTGGATGCAAACTTCCTGCTGACCTGGGCTGCGGTGTCGGCCTCTGGTGGCCAGAACTTTGGTTTTGGAGTTTTGCTAATTCTATGGCAATTTTGCTGCCAATGTCTGCATTGTTTCTTATCAGAGCCATATCTGAGAGACTTGTAAAGGAAATACATGTTTTAGACTAAGAGCACGCGTGTTTAACATTATCCTATACGTGATCAAAGTGGACCATGTAACTTCACAGGTTCACAAAAGGAAAAGAGCGCAAATAAGATTCATTTAAACATGGCTTTCCAATTTCTGTTAGAAACAATGGAAAACATTTTTCCTGTATAGATGAATTAATGTTTAATTTTTTTTTTTTTTAACATAAACTTTAGACAATTTCAGTACAGACTGTTTTCTCAGAATATTTAATACACAGGATGCCTTTTTTTTCATATTTCAATAAAAAGGTGACAAGGATACTGGCTCTTAAGGAGTCTCCCTGTGTCATCTCATGTACCCTCTTTAACAGGTAAGGTGTCACTTCTTTCCCCTTGATGTTTTTATGTCTAAAAACAAAACAGAATTAGAGAATCAATATTAAATTTTCAGCACTTTCATCATCCTAAGGTCATGCTTTCTCTCTCACCCTTTTTTTCCAACTAGAAAATATAATAATCTGAAAATTAATGCAGAAGAATATGGAAACTGGCAACAGAGATCTTTAAAAACAAAATTTACTCCCCTTCTACAATGACATTAATTATTATCACCAGAGGCTCCATATTAACTTAAAATTATTGAGTTTGGAGCAAAAAATATTATTAAAAAATAAAATAAAAATGCTGCCCAACTATCAATGCAGCCCATACTTACTCCGCCTCTATAATAGCATTCTGAATGTCCTGTTCAATCTCTAAATGTGACACAGAGTCATCTTCAGGGATGGGAACTGCTATAAGTACTCCACTGTCCAGCTCTAATTGCAAGCTAGTATCTGGAGGAAAAAAAAAAACGCACATTTAAAGACATGTATGGGTGTTTAAAATTACTGAGTGTTCAAAGCACACAATGTGGATAATTTGACATCTATAAAAACTTCAAACAACATTGGTTTGCTTGTACTGAAACTTGCCAGAACTTGTTCAAATCCATGGAATTTAAGAAGGGGGCGAGTTACCACATTCTCATATAAAGTGCATCATTACAGGTACAACAAGTTGTTCATCAATTAGATGCTTGTGTCAGATTTCAGGCTTCTGATACCTTGTTTTCTGCCTGTGATCAGCCTGAACCATCTGGAATCGCCTGTACTACTTACATATCATTCTGGCAGCTTCAGCAGGGGAATTTACACTGTGGGGAGCATGGTGACCACTCCGCGGGGTGAAGAAGGATGGGAAGTGCGTGCTGGGGCCATAGGCAGCCACACAAACACCTTCAGTCTCCTAGAATTTTGAAAATGAATTTATGGAGAAGATAACTGTATTATTATGAACAGTTTTTCCACTTGAAAAAAAAACATAGAACAACAACTCCAAATTAGCCTTGACATGGGCACCAGAGGGAAGGAGAAAAAATGTTGAAGCTGAGCAAAAAGAACTGAAGGGGCAGACATGGGGCGAAGCTGGCACAGCAGCAAAAGATAGAGGGAGATGGCAAAGACCTTATGAGCCGACCATGGTGCGAAAAGGATAAGTAAGTAAAAATTAAATTGACAAATTATACCATATTAACCTATCTTTTGCTCAAATAAGCTAAACATTTTATAATTTATTGAATCATGGATCCAATTTAAGAGCAATAATCCAAAAACACCAAGTTCATAAATCATATTCAAGACCCATGTACCATGTACTCCAAGGTCATATATCGAATTTAAAGCCTTATCCCTTTGGACCTGTCAGTTTACAAAGATCGATCCAACTCTGCTGGGCCTCTTGCTGAATGCAATGAAAATCACAGATTAACACCTCCTGGTGTTGAGTAGATTACAGAGAAGCTGGTAAATATATATGAGTACACTGAAAACAAGAGGATGCCTGTTAATCTGTTTAACTTGTTGTATTCAGCGAGAGTCCTGACAGAGTTAGATCTATCTACGTTGACCAATAGCTTCAATAGGAGTGAGCCCTAATTCTCACATACCAAGTATTCTAATGTCCTCTCAATGTCCAGTATAGACTTGACCCCTGAAGATACCACTGTGATGGGTGTCCTGCCAAGCTCCGTCAGGTCAGCACTGATGTCCAGGGCTACAATAAAAACAGTACATATTACAGGGTTTGCCTTCTATTTAGTAGACTTTAGACACAGGGCTACAATATATACAGTACATTTTATGGGGTTTGACTTCCTTTTTAAGCAGTCTCTAAACAGGACTGGGATATATAAGTAATCTGTATGGTACGTCTTACTTATAAGCAGTTTCTAGACACAGTGCTCGGATATATACAGAACATTTTACATGGTTTCTCTTCGTTTCAGCAGAGTCTAAACACAAACAGAAAGTTAATGTATACATAATGTGCAGTTTGTGTGATGGAGAGGATGGGGAGGGAGAGAGGGAGAGAGATCAAAGAAGAAAATAAAAGTGTGTGTGTCTTTGGTGTGTGTGTGTGTGTGTGTGTGTGTGTGTGTGTGTGTGAAAGAGATAGAGAGGAAAGAGATAGAGGGAGAGAGGAAGAGAGAGAATGAAAGTGTACACATGCTAGTGAATCAATGTCCAGACTTACACATCTAAGTTTCTCTGTGAACACTAATACCCTGGATGCTAACTTTTAATGTGTGTGTGTGTGCGTGTGGGTACATGTGTGCATGCCTGTGTGTGTGCGTGTGTGCATGCTTGCTTGCATGTGCGCATGTGTGTGTGTGTTTTGCCCCTCACATGTCTCAGCTCCCCTGTGTCCTCCACCAATGCCCCTGTCACAAACACCTGGATACCAGCAGAGAGAGAGTGTGTGTGTGTGCGTGCGTGTGTGCGTACGTGTGTGTGTGTTTTGTCCCTCACATGTCTCAGCTCCCCTGTGTACTCCACCAATGCCCCCTGTCACAAACACCTGGATACCGGCTTTGTGGGCAGCTATCATGGTGCCAGCCACTGTCAGACCACCTGTGAAACCCTGAAGATAAATAAATAAATAAATAAGTAAATAAATACTTGTCTCAAAATCGATCAAACAACATGATCAATTTAAAATAATAAATAAAACACCAGTCTATTTTAGTTTTAAATTACCTATCTTTCAAGCACTGCCATATGTAACCTGAATACAGAATTCTTATGCCCATCATCCTCCCAGATCAACTAAGTGTCAAGTGTTGGAACCAATTTAATTTAATAAGTAACAGTTGTTATAAATACTTTTACAGTTCCCATATGATCTCTCTCTTTCTTTTTTTTTCAGGTGACATTCATGTTACATTGTTACATCTGTATTGAAGTCAGATTTGTTTTCTGTGCTCCCAAAGTTTTTCCAGCTCAGTGGTTTACCTGACTCAGAACCCAAGCCATGTCTCTGCGGGATGTCTTGACAGCACTGGTGCCCTCTTTAGTCAGACTTTCAAGCTGATCCCCATCCAGACCTGAAGAGTAAAAAGTAACCACATTATATAGCATGATGACAAAGACAAAACAATTAGATATGGTCAGTGTTATCTGTGGCGAGCAGGGGTGGATCCAGAGATATTTTCTGACAGTCTTCCATATTATATTTGTTGATCCATCCTCCATTTTTTGACCGTCTTCCGACAGAAAAAATTAGATACCCAACAATGTTAACTTGAAAATCTGACCATCTTCTGGAAGACCCAGAAGACGGCCTAAATCTGCCCCTGGCTAGTATTAAGTTACCATGGAATTGTTTACAAAAACACTGCCTAACTCTGGGGTTTCATGTTAACACTTGATTCAGATAAAACAGTAGGACACATACTGTCACGGCGTAGGATTTTTACGTCGTTTTTTCACGCGCCATTACGTTACGTCGCGTTCGTTTTGTGAAACAGTGGAAATTTGACCGAAAAATGTCAATATTATCTGCAGAAGTAAATATCTAATACTTCCAATCAGATGTTATATTAATTGGGTATTTAAGCTTCATACCCATGTAATATTTTATTTTGAAATATTTGACATGACCGAGTTTATGTTCGCCAAACTTTCACGTCGCGGTGACAGTTTTCCTTGGCAACATCGTAACTTTCCTTATAATTTGCAAACTAGAGAGTGTGCGGGAAATTCCGGAGCCTGTATAATGTGTTTAAAAGCCTTAATTGTGTGGCTAAATTTTTATTCAAATCTATCCTTGTAAACAAATGCCTCAGCTGTTTTCGTAGGAAGATAGTGTAAAATTCAGGATTTGACGTCATGCATCGGCCAAGACGAGCCCAACTGAATGTTTGTTTACATTTTCACCTATTTGCACTTTGGCGAATACTTGTGTTAAATATGGTCGGTAATTCTATTTTCATGTTGATATATGTTACTGTCTGTATAAGGTTTAGCCCTAATTCCATTTTACGATGTTACGACTGATATTTGTACAAAAACAATATCTAAGGAGCTGGTCAAAATTTTCAGTGGTAAATGTGCAAGCTTAAATTGGCTAATATATGTATTTCTAAATGTTATCTGTGTTTTATGTGACATTGATAAGATAAGTGGATTGTTTTCTTCATTTTAATTGGCAGATAAGTATTTTTAATAAGCATATATTTCTTTAAAATCCTTTATTCAACATATACAACATACTGAAACATGTTGAACAATTTTATCTGGCAAGTTATAATAGTAGAAAAAAA